CTGTTCTGCCTCTTGCTCCCCTCTCATTTGGAACCAAATGGTGAGGAACAATGACCCAAACCTGAACCAAATTCACCCCAAAAACTGGCCCAAATCACCCCAAAAAATGATGCAAAACTGCCCCCAAAAACTGACCCCAAACTGACCCAAATCATCCCAAAAACTGACCCAAAACTGACCCGAATTCACCGCAAAAACTGACCCAAATCACCCCAAAAAATGACCCAAAACTGATCTAAATCATCCCAAAAAATGACCCAAAACTCTGCATTTATTTGGCATCATTTGCTCTCAAAAACAAAATCTCCAATTTAGTGGATTGCTAAAGCCATCATTTTAAAATCATCTCAGGAATCAAAAGGGACTGGAAAACACACAGAAATCATTCCTACACCCACCAAATCATTAGTAATTGGAACCCAATTCCCTCATCTCTCTCCTTGTTTTTCTTGGCTGGAAAACCTGATGATCCCCACTGGCTATTTTTAGGCTGCTTTTCTTCCACAGCTCCTTTCTCCCGGCTGAAACCTCCTGGCATATTCAGGGCTTAATTGGAGGGAAGCCCCTTTGATGTATTTCCTCTCGTGGCAATTCTGTGGGATGAAGAAGTAAAAAAGGCACGTCAAGAGCTTAAGGATCCTAAAACAACTAAGAAACTTAAAAAAAAAAAAAACACAGAGGAGGAAACAGGCCAATATCATGGCAAGTTGTGCCCTTCCTCCAGTGCTGATGAAATCACACACAGCACCAAGTAAGGCTCAAAGGGGGCTTGTCCCAGTCAAAGTGACTCACTACAAGATAAGCATGGGGAAAAATATGGCAAAAGCACAGACACCAGGACATTCTGGTGCCGGCGCGAGCCCGCGGCGCTTCGCTCTGGGCTCTGGGGTTCTTTTGGGCTGGTTTTGGGTGCGAGTTTTGGGGCACTGCGCACACCCTCCCCAGGTCACAGCCCCGCCCCAGCTCGCTGCACCCTACTGCACTCCCCGTACCCCTTGCTCAGCCCCGCGGGGATTTGTGCCTCCTCTGAAGGTGGCAAATGTCTGCAAAGCGACTCGGGAAGCCACTCCCAGTCTTTCTTTTCCAGCCTTTTCTGCCCAGCACCGCAGTGGTCGAAAAGGAAACCAGAAAAACAGGAAAAAAAAAAAAAGAACAAAACAAATAAATCGCACCATGCCAACTCCCAGCTCCTCCCGCTAAGCCCAGGCAGACCCCGTCAGCCGCCAGGCCCCGAGAGCTGCAGCCCCCGGGCCCCGCCGCGGCTTCCCCGCCCCCTCGGGCAGCAGCCTGGCCCGGACGGGTCGCAGGGATGGTGTGAAGGCCATCGTTCCGCTTCAGTGGAGCACCTGCGCGTGCGCGCCCTTCTTTGCAGTACCGCTTTCAGTCACCAGGTGTCACCCGCGAGTCACCGCGCACACGCACTACCCGAGTTCGCCGCCAGGCGGCAGCAGCGGTTCCCGCCCCAGCGGGGGGGGCAGCGAGAGGGGACCGGAAAAACCTCCCAACACACAGAGAGCCCTTTCTGTTGCCACCAGAGCGGTCACATTTTGTCACATTTTTGAGCCCTCTGTGGTTTAATTTAGATATACAAAAGTTATATTTGTATTTAGAATTTCTTATATTCTAGGATCCTGTATATAATACAATATATACAGGGCTTTATTTTGAAATCAATTTATATGTAAATTAATATTATTTTTCAATATATAGCAAAAGAGCAACAAGGCCGGTGAAGGGACTTAAACGCAAGTCCTACAAGGAGAGGTTGAGGGATCTGAGGTTGTTTAGCCTGGAAAAGAGGAGGCTCAGGGGAGAACTCATCACTCTCTACAACTCCTTGAAAGGAGGTTGTAGCCAGGTGGGGGTTGTCTCTTCTCCCAGGCACCTATCGGTAAGACAAGAGAGCATCGTCTTAAGCTCTGGCGGGGAGGTTTAGGTTAGATATAGGAAGAAATTCTTTACAGAGGGGGTAATCTGGCATTGAAATGGGCTGCCCAGGGAAGTGGTGGATTCTTCGCCCCTGGAGGTTTTTAAGATGAGACTGAATGTGGCACTTAGTGCCATGGTCTAGTAACTGCAGTAGTGTTGGATCAAGGGTTGGACTTGATGATCTCAGAGGTCTTTTCCAACTTTGCTGGTTCTATAATTCTACGAAAAAGAGAAATGTTACAGTTTTTAATACATTTAATACATTTAATACACATCCACCTCCCACAAATTTTCAGGCCTTTTGGTGTTGTAATCTCCCTCTTTTGGGAGGACCCCCCCACGACCCTCCTCATCCCCCACTCACCTGCTCCTCCACCGCATCCTCGCTCTCCCAGAGGCATTGGGATGCCTCTAATGACCTCATCACCCCCCCAGACTCCTCTACATCCCCCTTTTTACTCACCCCCAAAGGTGGAAGAGAGGGAGAGCGGGTACAAGATTGGGGTCACAAGACAGAGGGAGAAGAGGGGACAAGAAGAGGAGAGGAGAAAAGGGGTGGAAAAAAGAGGGGAGAGGGGAGAAGGTGTGGAGAGCACAAGGGAGGGAACGGGGAAGAGATAAGAGCAGAAGGGGAGAGAAACCAGGGAAAGGGCAGACAAAGGGCTGGAAAGGGGAAGGGGGGGAAAGAGGAGAGAAGAGGAAAGGGAGGGGGAGAATAGAGAGGGAGAGGGAAAAAAGGTGAGTCAAGAGATGAGAGCAGGGCATGCAAGGGGCAAAGGGGACTCGTGAGGGGGGACCCTTGCAGGGGTATATACAGTTTGCCATCATTTGAGTGGGAGAATTTAGAGGAGACAGGGACAGGTGGGAGGGCAACTCACAGCACTCTGCCAGGTATGAAGTCAGACTCAGGGACAGGTTTTGATTTCCATATGGTTTAATAAGTTAACAGATTCAGCCATTACACAGCAATAGACTTCTTCAAGATTTACAAAGGTGCAAGAACTTCATTTAGTCATAAGTAGTTTTATTCTCCTCTCTTTAATAGCTACACAGTTCCAATTCTTTTCCCCCAAACAATCTGGGGTTAAAATAATCCACCCAGAGAGAAGGCATCAAAGTACAAAAGAGAACACACAAGGAGGGGCACTAATTCAAATTCCGTGTGGGTATTTGGTCCAGTACCTTACAAGCAAGGAAAGGTGGTGTGGAGTAGTCATGCCTGTAAGAAGGAGCTGCAATATCACAAGTACACAAAGACCTTTGCCAGAAGTTTGAACACCAGCGGGATTGTTACTCTACCATGAGACTCACCATGACCTTGCAGTGGGGGAGGTCAGATGGAGAGAACAATGCAAAAGACCAAAACAACAGAAACAGCAGCCTCCCAACATTCAAGAGTCTCCCCAGCTACCCAGAAATTACCTCTCTGTAGGTTTAGCAAAAAATGAGCCAAGAGAAGCCGCTGCGGGAAGGAAATTGCACCGCCAGAGACAAAAAAACACATAACAAAAACATTTTTAAGATTAAACTTTGCCATGTGCCCAGTTCTAGTCTAGAAATAGCACATGCCCGTGTTGTTCTTTCATGGTTTGGAGAAGTTCTCATTAAGTTCCCCTCCACTGAACCGGTTTTCCACCCGAGTAGTCTTCCCTTGCTCTTCCCCACTTCAGCCAATCTACCTAAAAACCTGTCCTCAACTACATAAACAACACAAGGGTGTTCGCAGGAGCAGGAGTTGGACTCGCTCAGGTCTGTGCAAGAAATGGATACAAATGGCACAGAAGGCTTTCCCGACCCACCACTCGGTGCTGTCATCCCCAGCCCCTTTGCAGCATTCCCAGTACAGGTGTTTGCAGAGTGTGCTCTAATTATAACCATGTGCAAACACACAATCCCTTTGGCCTCAGTCAGACATCCATCGTGCCAAAGCCTACAGCGCCCTCAGAACACTGAGGTTGTGTAGTTCCCTTCATTTCTTCCTGTGCCTGACTCAAACACAGCCTTAGTGGGCCAACATCAAGGGCTTTTTTTTGATAAGGAGGCTCTTAAAAAGCCTTACCAAAGCATAGGGAGAGGGTGTATCCAGAGAGAAATACACTTACAAGCATACTTGCAGCTAGAGCAAATCTATTTTCTTCAGAGCAGTAAAACTACACAACATAAGTAAATTCTAGTAATTCTGTTCAGCCAAAATTAAAAAAAAAAAAAAAACAACCAAAAACAAAAACACAAACCCAAACCCTCAACAAAATGAAACCAAAACAAACAACAAAACCAAAACCAACCAAACAACAACCAACCAAACAACATACCCCTCACAAACAAAAAAAACCAAAATGGCTACTTTGGCTTCATTTACCAGTCACTGTTCGTGCTTGTGTATCTGACAGTGAAGCACAGCATTTGGAATGCAGGCCCCCATCAGCAGGTTGAACTCCTTCAGAACTCTCCATGCATTCATGCCACCGCTCTGCTCCTCTTCTTCCATCACATATTTAGTCAAGGACCTATTTCACAAGGTGCAAATATTGAGCCTACCCTGAGACAACAATCTGCCAACTGCAGATTATTCAAGCTTATAAAGTTCGACAGCAGCCTCGCCACTCCCTGGGGCTGCTCTGTGGTCCCAGCATTATGAAATGCCACAGACCCTGCAGCAGCACCAAGGTGAGGGCATGGGTATCTGGAAGAAGTTAAACAGGGAAATCAGATTTCAAATACCACTTCTTCTGTCCTAAAGCCAGAAGCACTGGTAGGAATTAAACACAAAAGAGGTTTCTTTAAGCAGCCATTCTATGGGGGAAAATTTCCAGGGACTCAGTCTTTACAGCTTCTGGAGGCCAAAACCCCGTGTGACCTTCCCTTTCCTTCTGAGAAGACTAGGATAGAGGAATTGTTTCTCACACCAATAACCACACCTGCCCCATGAGGCGGACTTGTTACTGCTCACACCTTTGGGAAGCTCACATAGTTGGGACTAACAAAATCAGCACCTACTGCTTGGGGGATCAAAACGTTTCTGCAAAGGAGAAAGGAAGCCATATACACATATGATGAGGAAGAATCAACGTGTTAATCAGAACTAAAAAACTTCCAATACACACAGATGAGCCCTTTCCCCCTCATTCCTTTGTAGCTCAAACAGCAGTTTAGCCAAACACCTTGAAAACCAATCTGCACTTACTAGGAGCATATAAAAGAATATAAAAGGTTACAATATATCAGTATGACTTTGATAAGAAACAAAATGGCAGAAAATACATCTCCACTAGGAAACACAAGCAGATGCAGGACTTAATGTTTGGGGATGTGCTCTGTCAGCACTTGAAAATACCCCTTTCTTTTGCAAGCTGTCTAACCAGATACAAATTTACAGTGCACTTTACTGCCTGTGATAAAAAAATTGCTAAAAATTCAAGGGAAGATGTGCCCCTACCATCATGCTTCCCATCTGCCATTCATTCTGCTGACCACAGTGCAGGAATCTTTGCCACACCAAAGCTCAAAATCAAAACCAGTACCTCCACTGTGAACAGGAGGCATAGCCTGGAGCCAATCAGGAACAAATACAGGAAAGCTCACAGACACATGGCAGGAATTCCCATTTAACACAGCTAGAAAGGTCCCCAAGGTCAGTGAGGAACTCAAGTTTCAGTTTTACTCCCTTTCCTATCACTTCTTCCTCTGAGTCAGACCAAAACATGCTGGTCAAGACTCTGGGTACATGTTTGTCAGACATAAATCTCACCTTTTCTGCCTCCAGTCCACAGCAACAACGCTGGCCAGTCCTCATAACCCTCCTAGTGTACATGAGCCCCAGATCCCTGATTCAGAAGCCCAATCATCCTCGGTGTTCACCTCCAGCTGCTCCTCACCACAACAGCTTGAGCTGCTCTTGAAGTTTAAAGAACAGACTTGTGGCAAGTCCTGTGATTAACCCACAACTGATGAGCTGCTGGCTCTTCTGCAAGTTCCCTTCCGCTCAAACCAGTGTTTCCACTGCAAGGCTTCCCAGTCATCCCACTAGAGAAGCACTGCTGTCTGGGTTCAGCCAGCACTCTCACCTGACATGGTACTAAAAAGAATAAATAAAAACCAAAAATCAAGCATCAAATACTTTCACAGCTACAACTCATAGAGGGGAAGGTGCAAGAGAGAATGCCAAACTGGAACCAAACCACAGGACTCTGGGAGAAAGGGCATGCTGGGGAAGGACAGCACCATGTGTGACACCACCAACCCAAGCAAAGGAAGGCCACGTCCAATTGGTGGCTGGATCCATACATGAGAGCCACAGATTGCCAGGTTCCACCAGCACCAGAGCATGAACTGGTCACTTGCTTTGAGGAAAATGATCTTCAGAGAGAAACAGAGACTTCTCCAACACCCATAGTGCACGGAACTGCAAACAAAGCCACAGTACCACGTGGACAAGGAAAGAAACAATGGATAGAAGACATGGCAGAGCTTGAGGATGACAAAGACTCCGGCACCAAACCAAATGAAGAGGTTCCTGGTCAGCCAGCTGGACCAATCTTATTTTTCACACATGCCCAATCACATGGGGAATCAGCAGGAAAAACAAGGAGTCCCTCCTCCTGCTGGTACACACTGGCACTTTCAATTCAAGCCCCAGGTGACTATGGCCTTCCCTACCTGCACAAACACCCAAGAGACACCCTGAGGCTCCCACCTGTAAATCCTTTCACAGTGCAATATCCAGAGACATTCCAGTCTTTGGAAATGGCACACGGCAGCAGTATGAGTAAGGATTTGTCCTTCCAAAGAACACAACACATTTTATGCACGCCATCAAGAGAACTACTTTTTCAGTTGGTAGCATCCTGCACTGGGCAGGGTGATAGCCATTACCTCAGGAGGTACTGAGACAGGGGAGCAAAGCTGGCAAATCCAGCCAGGCCTAGGCAACGGACCTTCCGTGAGTTGTTTCCTCCCCTCTGTTCCACTTCCTTAACCTTACAACCCACAGGAGAACAGGAGCTTCCACTCAAACTAGGCATGCTGGCAGGGGCATGGGTGTTTCTCCAAAGAGCATTGTTACGCTCTTCAAAGGGAGCCTCTGGGGACATTATATTCACAATGTGCACGGGTCAGGAGACCAGTCAACCATTCATCTAGAAGGGAGGTCTCCTCCCACGTAAGGAGTCAATTTTCCCCTGCATGCCCCTCCCTCTGCAAATACCACTGCAGAAATGCCCCCTCTGTTTGAAAGCAGTGGATTGGGTTTGCTAGAAGAAAGGAAATACCAAACGCAATCAAGAAAGATTCCTTCTATTACAGGAAACCCTTTCATCAGTGAAAACATGTAAAGTCTTGTCTCTTTCTACCACGTGCCCTCAGGCTCCCCATCAGACTGCCCTTTCACCACACTTCTTGCCATATTCCTTGCCATCCATTCCCAGCATGGTGCCAGTCCTTGGCACGAGAACCACGAGAGTGCACGAGGCCGGGCCCTCCACAGACCCAGAAGACAGGCTGGCACCCCTTTGGCAACGTCCCCAACCACCCTCAAGGGTAAGGGATCTGCTCATAGGACAGCTGGTGCGTACATGCAGCACGGCCCCTTCGCTGTTCAAGAACATGGCTGTGGAAGGAGGGCTGCATCACAGGGTGAATGCACAGGGTGGCAGAACTGACAGCACTGACCAGGCATTCTTGCAAGGGCCCAGGCTTCTACAAGAACTTGTGCAGTGGTTAAAACTTTCTTCTTCTTAGAGACTCCTTCCTTCACCAGCATAGCACAGAAAGCAGGGGTCCCTCAGTGCTGTCCGAACCAGGGACTGTTCCAAGGATGGTTCCCAGGTGGAGAACCACAGCTTGTTCTGCTGCCAGCTCACAGCCCAGGAATACATGGCCCCGAGCACACCTCAGGTTACAGCTTCTGCACCAAGGACAAGCAATAAGAGCGTTTAGATCATCAGTGACCGCATCATTCTCTCTCGTTAAAAGAGCTGAGCGAGGCTACATCCCACACTTCTCAGTCATGTAGCTCACCCAGCAGTTTCTTGATCTATAACACTGAAGGTTGCCACTTGAGAGACCTGCCTCCCATTTCCAAGAGGCAGCTCATGATGCCAGATGGCTACACAGGTGGAGTCACGTCTGCAGCTCCTGGGACCCCCAGGGGGATTAGCATGACACCTGGATTTTCTGGGAGAGCACAGTGGGGTACAACAATCAGAGAAGGCTAAGCCAAGGCAGACGAGCAGCCTAAGTCCCAGGTTTGCCACCTCCACTCCCCAGATGGTGTAAAGCATTGGGGTGTCTTCCCTCAGCCAAGGTTGGAAAGAACTGGACTGCAGGTCACAGATACCATGGAGCGGGAAGACAAGAGACTATAAAATGATCTCTGAGAAATCTTTCCAATAGGCTTCTCCCTCCTTCAGTTCTCACCAGCTGATGTGCTGTCACTACCTTTGGGTTTGGATTTAGACTTGAAGGAGAAGCGCTTGATGAGGCGATGAGAGAAGCTACCAGCTTTCTTCCTGGCGACAGAGTTGGCAGCGACATTAGACAAGTCATCGTGTGACTGGCTCAGGCCCGCTTCCTTCTGCTTGCTCCTTCTCCGGAAGATGAGCTTGGTACCACTCCGAAGAAAGCTAACTGCAGAGACAGAAAGGAAGAAGACAGAAACCATGAGAATGTCCTGCCCGGGCAAGTTTCAGGGACAGTAACACACCTGGTCATTCTCAGATTTGCAGCAAAGACCTCTCCACCTCAGGTGGCAGAAGTCACAGCAGTCTGCAAATCCCAGCTCCCAAATGCAAGGCAAAGTCTCTGTTCATGACAGACTGCAATGTCAACAAGCTGATTCACTAAGCATTCCAAACCATGTCCCCTCTGCATAAACTTCCTTTTACACAACATCCTTCCCTCACTGGAAGTATGAAGAATTGTAATAGAAAGCCAAGATTCATATGAATGGAAAATGGGCGAGAACACCTGAATGTGAAGACCCTGGGAAGAACACACAGGGGGAAAAGGTCTCAGACTAACCTGTCTCAAGGGCACACAGATTAACTGGTCATCAAGCCCCTGGAACAATTGCCCGTGGTTTCACATGCCCAATCTGGAGGCAAATAATGCCAATGGCTCCCTATGACTCACACAGGCACAAGAGGATGGAGACACCAATTGCCATCAGTCTCAAATGGATCAGAAAGGCATATTCAAAACCTGCATGCCATACAGCACTACAACAGTATTTCTTGCAAGAGGGGGTTTTCCCTCTCTTCCCCACCCACCAGGTCTCTCAAGAATCTGGGTCATGCACCTTTCTACCCACTGACACGAAAACAGGGGGTCTCCACAGTTCAAACCATACCTGGTTGTAACAGGGTTCAACCCCCCAAAACTTGTCCTACTCTCATATTCTGAGCAATCAAGATTGATTTGCATTTGTCTACGTAAGTCGGTAGCTAACTGAAAATGTTGTGGCTACGAGCAGACAAATCCAAGGTGTGCCATCCACCCAACTGCCACAAGCAAGTAAAGTCCAGAACAGCAGCTAGGCTGGGGCAGGCCTGCTCCATCATTTAAAAGCAGAGAATTTGTGTGGACATCCTACAGGTCAGAGGCAGTAGCTGCTTCAATACTAGCAGAGAAAGAAGGAGGGCATAAAGGCCCGTACAATCCACATTGTTGGGCAGCCTCCATTTCCACACCAGAGGTGGCCAAATTCAGAGGAGGAATCATTATTTACAGACATGCACCTGATCTGTAGATGTAGAGGCCACAGAAAGAAAACGGTTCTCTGACGTACACAAGCTGCACAGGGTTCCCATTTAAGAGAGCACAGAAATTGAAAAGGCTACTGGAATTGTATACCTACAAATAGAGGGATTTGGAACCGCTCCAGTGGAAAGCACAGGAGAGAGACAGGCTCTTCCAGGCTCCAGTAAAAAGCTGCTCTTCGTCATGCCAAAAGCTGGCTGCAGACCCCATTCTCGGGTGGGGAACTCGGATGTCACTTTGTTCTTACGTACAACAGGTCAATGTTAGCTACCATCTAACAGTTCATCTTACCTTTGTGATCTTTCAAGCTCCTGGTCTCAAGGGCTCCCGTGGAGCCAGTTTCAGACTCAACATCTTCCACTGATGGTCTTTCAGAGATGTCTGAACGTGTTGTCTCATCCAGCTCCTGACTGGCCCGTTGTCTGAGCAGTGACGCTTCCAGCGGCTGTGACGATTCGGTAGAATCGTGCATCTGGTCAGCTGTGCTCTCTGCTGCAGAGTCCCCAAACGCTGTGGGCTCCAGGGATGCAGCATAACCCAGAGAAAGTGCCATTTCATCTTGAGCAATAGGTACCTGAAGGGCGGGCAGACAGACATGGAGACAGGACCAAAAGAATTGCAACCATCTCCCTTCTTCCATCTACACCTACATATGGATGCTCCAGTTCTGATCATCAGACAGCACTGATGCACAATCATCATTTTTTTGCTGAAACATACCGCAACATTGCCAATTACAGAGCATTCAGCAGCACCTCCCTCACTCCCACAGTCAAGTTCAAGGAGAACTCCTTATATTCTCCATGAGGGCCAAAACCAGCTATGGCAGCAGGCTCCCTTTCTGCAGATGCCCTTAGTGAACTCCCACTGGCAGCTGCCCTGTAGCCTGGCAAGGTACCTTTTAATGCTCACTGGGAAGCAGCAAAAGGCTTCTGCTGAGCCAGTCATCTGTGTTGGAACCTTCCCAAACTGGTCCCTACAGGACAGGGTAGTTTCACGCACGCATTCCTAGAAACAACTTCCCAGACTGGAAATGCAACTCTGATCTACCAGAGACCTTGGAAACTCCTGAGATGATCAGTGTGCTACGTTTTGTTGGTGTCTTCTTGGTGGTCTTGTTATTTGTCTCAGTTAGCTGCCTGATCGCCGTCTCAGCCACTGGATCCAAACCATTGGGCATATGGCCATCCCCTGAACACAAGAAAAATACCAGTGCTTGGAATAGCAAACCTTCAGCACAGGGAAAAGGTCGCTTGCTGACTGCGATACTTGTAATAGGCAACTCACATGTACACGAAGGTAGAGAACAGAATTTATTACAGACCTGTCCAAATTACCCAAAGGAAAGAAGCTCTGCATAGCTAGCTCTTGGCTTTTTTAAGCATTTCCCAGCAGGCATATCATTAAAATATCCCTCCCACTCAATAAAAGCTTCCAAGGATTCCCAAGAGTTTGGGCAGCCCTGGCTGCAAATTGTCCAAATTGTTGCAGTGCTCTGTTTCAGAGACAATCAGAGCCCAGAGTGCAGGGTGACCAAAGTTTTTTGGGTCCAGATAGCCTGGAAAGTTCTTGTCAAGCAAGGAAACACTCAGACTCACTGACTGGATAGCCAAAGCAGAATGTCTTATACCTGCCTCCACCTCACCACCGGTCCTCCGGCCCTGCCTTCACTCAGGCACCCGGACATCCTCCGCCGTAGTAAATGTAAACAAGCTCAGTGAACCACACTCAGACTACCACTTTCCAAGAAACGTGAAAGAAAACAGTTACTCCACTAAGAGCCTCGAATTTCCAAGCACTTACGGCTACTGCTGGGCAAGGGGCCATGAGGACAGCCAGTCTCCAAAAGCACTGTTGTCTTCTTTTCAGTCACTTCCACCTTAGAAGGCGACCTCGATGGTGAATCTTCATGGTAAAAGAGACACAGATACCAGTAAGTGCAGATGAAGCTTAGGCAACTATACTGTTGTATTGCGGTCCCTACACACAACCCCAAAAAGCCTCCATCGAGTGTGCGGAGATCCTGCAAGGCTGGCTCTGTAAGGCTTTGCGGCAACGAAGCAGTAAGAAGCCTATTGAGAAAACCATAGAATCATGGAATGGTTTGGGTTGGAAGGGACCTTAAGGATCATCTCATTCCAACCCCCCTTCCACTAGACCAGGCTGCTGAGAGTCCCATCCAGCCTGGCCTTGAGCACTCCCAGGGATGGGGCAGCTACAGCTTCTCTGGGCAACCTGTGCCAGTGTCTCACCACCCTCACAGGGAAGGATTTCTTCCTAATAGCTAATATAAATCTACCCTCCTTCAGCTTTAATCCATCCCTCCTTGTCTTATCACTGTAAAAAGTCCCTCTTCAGCCCCCTTTAGGTACTGGAAGGCTGCTTGCTATAATGTCTCCCCAGAGCCTTCTCTTCTCCAGGTTGAACAGCCCCAACCTCTCAGCCTGTCTTCATAGGGGAGCTGTTCCAGGCCTGTGACCAACTTAGTGGCCCTCCTCTGGACTCACTCCATCAAGTCCACATCTTTCATGTGGTAGGGGGCCCAGAGCTGGACATAATACTCCAGGTGGAGTCTTACAAGAGCAGAGTAGAAGGGGAAAATCACCTCCCTTGACCTGCTGGCCATGCTTCTTTTGATGCAGCCCAGGATACGGTTGGCTTTCTGGGCCACAATCCTGTGAAGCAGCTGCTTCATTTGTGCCATTTCCCAACCACATCTCATGGAATATCCAGCACCACATGCATCAGGATGCCAGACTGCAAGCAGCAACTACCCCTAGTAAGGTCGGTCAAGACCCTTTCAGCTCCACATTCACTACATACAGCATAACTTCTTTAGCAGTGAAGGAAACAGAGGAAGAGTGGCTAAACACTTAGCCCAACATCACACAGAGGTTATGTGACAGCATATGCATTAGACCTCCCACCACCAAAGGATGTGAGAGAGGCTCATCCCTCCCTCACCTCCCCGCAAACACAGGGTTGCATCAATTCCCTCCCCTAGGGCTATACTCAAGTTTCCAGCCAGCCACAAGACACTCAGGGAACAGCAAGGATGCCCATGTTCTGACCCACAAGCCAAAAGCAATGTGTAAGGAGTCAACCTGCAATAACCATATGTGATGGCAAAACAGTTTTGCTACTACTTGCATGAGCTGCCTCGGGAGTATCGTGGCTAAGACTGTGCTGCCATAGCAGCCACCTGCACAATATACCTGCTGCAGGGCAGCCTCACCCAGTTTGCAGTCTGCCTTGGGCCGGGACTGAATCGTGGTGACAGTAGTCACGATGGTGCCATCGGGCATGATGGTCCGGTCCATCTCCACCTTCTTAGTGGGGGTGATGCTGGTTCTCAGAGATGTGGTGTGCTGAGCATTCAAAGATGCAGGAGACTCCTGGAATAGCAGCTATAAAGAGTAAAGCACTGCTCAGAGAGGGTCTGTTCCTCCCGGATGGAAAGGCAGGCATATTTGGGCAGCAAAAGCTAGGGCTCTGGGTACTGAGGAGCCATCCCCACTACAGTGTCAATTCAAGAGGGAAGCTCAGGAACCGAGGCTCAGGCAACACCCCTCCTTGACATAAGGGTTTCCCAGCCCCCAACTCGAGCTCAGCCCCAATCATGCTTGTCTCCAGCTAGAGGCTAACATCATGAACACTTTCAGAGCATACATTAGTGCAGAGCTTGTGGAGTTGTGAGCTCACCTCCAATGTAATGGTAGCTTCAGCTGTCAGTGACTGCCCAGGTCCTGGGGCCAGTGAGCAGACGTGTCTTCCAGATGGTTGTTTGCCCAAAGAATCAATCCAAAGTGTGGCATGTGCCAGCAGCACATCTGCAAGAAGGAACAGGAAAATGAAACACACCAAATGACCTTAGCACCTCAGATATCTCCCAGCCATTTCCCTGCTCTTGGAAAGCAGCCCCACGGGCCAACAAAGCAGATCCCCACAATATTGCCAGCTCCCAGGTTCAAGAGGGAGAAAGGGCAGGCAGCACTCCTCCGCTCCTCTTTAACAATCCAGAAATCAACCCCCTTAAAAAGGTGGCCATTGTGTGGCCTCCATCAAAAATAGGTGCTACAGTTAGTCCCTGACTGAGTACAAATGAACAGAGTTAAAAGCCTTCTGCGAAGTTCTTCCAATACATGGGGCATGCCTCTACTGCTTCAGAGCAGAGATGGGCAGGCCACAGAGGAATCTCCGAGTTCAAGTCAGACTCAGACCATTTTGGTAAGAAAAACTGAGTTACTTCATGCAGACAGAGGCTCACATAAAGCTGGATATGAAAAATCCTTTGCAGAGTTCATCACGCATCATATCGACACAGAACTACCACAAGCTTAAAGCACAGTAAGTTCCTTAGGCATTTTTGTCTCCCTATCTTACAACCCGTCTTACGGTTGCCCATACTCACTTCCCATTCTGTCGCTATTCCCCAGCACCCGTAGCTTCAGCTCTTTGCTTTTAGGCCCCAACTCCCTGTTGAAACAGAAAAAGATGGGCTGCTGTTAGGTACTGTTTGCAAAGTGGCCACAGAGCAAACAACTCCATTCTGTATCTTCTCTCCCTCAAATCTCACACACTTTGTCACCTTCTCCAAAGCTCCAGTATGCGTGCACTGCTTTGGAGGACATGTCTAGGGTAGAAATTACACAGAATAGAACTCTGGTTTGTGTCCCCTGCAGGGCTGTGTAGGCTGCCAGAGGAAGTTGAGAGGGCAATCTGTCTGGAATGCTGAAAGATACATTACAGCCCTCCTGTGCCTGCCGCTCCCACAATCAGCACTTCATCCCACCCAGTTAAAACACAGAGTGGCCAGAGTAGTGGGAAATATGCACATGCAGGTTGGGGTCACTTGCTGGAAGCACCAGCACCAGCACCAGCACAGGAGCAGCACAAACAGACACTGCCTTGTGGTGCCAGCCTCCACCTCTGCACCAACCACAACTGTTACTGCAGTGTGGGAATGACACCCAGAGTGTGCCAGTTCAGAAGAAGGGCAGACACTTACAGAAAGAGCTCCTCATTCCACTCCATCTCTCCTGCAGCACTGGCACTGCCAGCTGTCATCGGCCTTGTCCACTTCTGCTGCGGGGGGCTGTCTAGCTCTGCTACACAGCATATCTCCCCAACTCCTGCAACAGAGGGACAGAGGGCATGCGTGCACTCATCAGCATGAGGCAATGGTTCAGCAGACACACGCCCCTCTTTTCCATTCAAACCCACCCAAAACATCCACTCACTCCAATCTCACCACCTGCGCACCTGCCCCTGTGGATCAGCAATGTTTTCACGCTTACCTCCCTTCCCCTGGCAGCCCAAGTTCAGCACTCGAAGATTCCGGAGCAACAGCTTAGAACCCAGAGGGGCTGCTGCTACTCCGGACGGGGACTCTCGAATCAACTTATTGCTGGGTACCTGAGGAATGACGAGAGCGAGACCGATGCCTTTATCGTTCACTCGCCAGCAGACAGCAGCAAGACGCATGACGTTGGTCCTCATATCTACTAAGTAGCTCCTCACACCAACACGGGAACACCCACAGAGCCATCCAGAAATGCTGCAGCTATCAAGCTCCAGTGGGCCCTCGTGTTATGTCAGATGGGAAGTTTAAGGCAGACAGAAAAGGAGACAGGCAAGAACAAGCTTGCTGGCTGCCAGACGGTCAACTGACAATGACAAACCATGGACCATTCCATGTCTGCAAAGGCTGCCCTGGACAGAGCCTTGGTGTTCAGGGCAAGGGAGACTGCCAAAACCGAGACGTGTCTCAGGCAGTCTGGCTCCAAAACAACACAACTGACAATCATCACTCAGGAAACAAGGCACAAACAGAGTTGCCCTTCGAAGCAGTTTCTAATTATCCCTACGTCCCAAGTTGCAGAACCCCAACTCCTATGACAGTGCAGGTCAGGATTCAGCTGTCACCCAGAAGTGAGACTCAACCCTTGGATTCCTGCCTGAGCCTCAGCCCTCAGAAGTGTCCTGGGGCCTGAGTTGGAGGCACAAGGATGACAGGAGGAGAGTGCCTTACCGCACTGGCTCCAGTGGTGCAAGCCATCAGGTTCACTGTCATGGCTGGCTGCGTGCTGACAATGGTATCCTCGATCAGATCCCTTATCGTGGACAGATCCGCTCTCCCTTCATCCTTCTCTCCACAAATCAAGAGGAAATGCAGTAAAGTCATAAAAAAACAACACATTTTCTCCTTTTACAACTACAGTTGCCTCCCAAGCCTCTAAGGTATAACACAGTCTTTCTCCCAGTAATAACCTCCCAGATACTCTTTCTGTATTCCATACTCACTCTCCCCAGTGAGTTTCCATGTAGCAGCCGCACACAAGCGGAAGCTTTCTAAATGAGACAAACTAGGCCTCTACATCTGTAGTCTACCCATTGTAAATTTTTGCAATACAGCTTTTATAGTTTGTCACATCCTCACTACCTCACAAGATGGTACTACGGCACTATTGGGAAAACTGACACATTCCTACATCTACTCGGGATAAAGCAACAAAGATGTCAATAAAACAAACAAATCAACCAACCTATTTGAATCACAGAAGCGCAAGCACACCCACATTCAGCCCTTTAAACCTCTAACACCCGTGGGTTCCCCACATTAATCTCTCAAGAAAACCCCAAACAAACACAACAACAAGCAAATACCACCTCACACACTCCTCACATACAAAAAACATGCCAACCCAGCTCATCTTGCAGCTCTACATCTGACAACAGCGGGAGGAACCTACACAGACAGAAAGCCTTCAACAGTTATTGGTACCGCTTCAGGTCCAATGAAGATGCGTTGTTTTGACACAGCTGAGCTAGTATCGATTCCAGGGTGAAAGAATCCTCTCCCTAAAGGGCCACAGCAGCAAGTTGCCAACCTTCCCCCTCCACAGCAGCCTTTCTCCCAGCTCAACACTGTTTCTACTGCTCCCTCCCTTCCTGCATCAAGGTCAGCCTCCCATCATGCGCCACTCACCTCAGGAAGCTGAAGTCTTGGAAGAACCAAAAGGTCCAAGTCTGGTCTGTTCTTGAATGTCCATGACACCAGGAGACCTTCATTCTCTATCTCCTCCAAATGGATCTCCACCTGGCTCAGAACAAATACCCATAGTCAGGAACAGTTTCTGTTTACATTACGTGCTTTTTGCCCCACTTCAAATTCAGTGATTGAAAGGCAATCGCACCAATGCAACAGTAAGAGACAGAACATAAGAACAAAAGTGCTTCCAGGTCTATAGGATAAAGCAGTTGCAGAAGCCTCATCGCTCCATAGCAAGATCTGGCTTCCTCACTACTGGTAAGTAACCAGTAAGAGGTGCATAGAATAAGAAAGGTACAATTTTTGGGAATACAGTACTTGAAGTATTCCAACAGTCAGGTATATGATAATCTAACCAGCATTTCCTAAAGCAGCAGCAAGACCTCAATTAGAGTACCACATGCAATTCTGTACAAGAATAATCAACCCAACACTTCAGCAGGTGCAGACAAGGAATCCTAGAAAATGCTAGTGAGTAGGGGAGCAATTGGATGAGATCTGAGACAGGGGACTTTCAAAGATGAAAAGCAACTTCAGTTGCTGCACACAACTAGACTGGCAGCAGGCACACTAAATACTGAGGAGAGAGGAGCTATTTAAATGACCGCAGAACAGAGGCTCAAAATAAAACTGGGATGACCTGGGATGTACATTCAAAATTATAATAAGGCTTCTGAGAGTAAAGGGGTTCCAGAACAACTTTCCAACTGCAATACCTGCAATAGCACGGGACTGGCTTCTGCCACCACCGAGTTACTTCTAATTTTGCCGTGACTTTTTTTTTAATTTTTTTTTAATTTTTTTTATTTATTTATTTATTTTGCTATAGTGCAAATGAATGCACAGCCTCCACACAAGATACCATCCCCAGCGTCACATTCTTCATCATGATGGGAACAAAATCACATTCCAGAGAATCAAATCCAGCCAGAAAGTGACTGTGGAGTTACCACCCACTGTAATTTCACAAAGCTTCTGTTCTGGAAGAAGCATCTCCAATATTCAACACACAGAAAAAGCTGTATCGTGCTCTTGTGAAGGTAATAGGGGAAACACTGACAACTAAGCTACTCCCCACAACAGATTTCTTTTTCACACCAACTACCAGGACAACACCATATTTGTACATATGCACAGGATGTACCTTTACCTATCCATTATGCCCTGAGAGGAACTGAATTCTCTGGAAAATGCTGCCATGCCTCAAAACTCTCTGGATTTTCTTACAGTTATGTTTCATAGCCAAAATCTGCAGAGCAAGACTCAGAAAACAGGACTGGGCATGCTAAAGGGGAATATTTGCCACTTCACCAAATGTTAGTGACAGCACGCTGCTTCTTCCAGCACAATGATGTCTTTATTTGCGCTAAATCTGGTCCTCCTTCCTCGACCAGTGTGGGGCTGGATGAAAGAATAAGGTCAATGTCTAACTTCTTACAATTTTTACCTGAGCCTGCATTACAGCCAAAGTGACATAATAGGTGTCCACAGAAACAGCAACTGGGGACTGCTGAGTAACAGAGACGGGGAATTTCACAGCTTCAGCTGACAGATGGCAGCACAGCACCTAGGGAGAAGAGATGAGTTTCTATCCCAACAAGAGGCAGTTGTGTTACTCTCCCCATGTTCTACAATGTGAACCTGCCACTTCGGACTCTGTACGTGAGGCAGTAAGGACAAATTGGTGACAGTAGCTCTCTTCTCTCCACTGTAGGAGAAGATGTTTGGGCTCAGCATTCATACACCCCATCTCCACCAACACATCTCCCCTCACGGAGCTCTCCAAGAGCTCAATGAGGTACAGCCCCAGAGCCTCTGAACAGGAGACAGGCCTCCAAACTCTACAACAGACCTTGCCCAAAACTTCCTCGGTCCCACCATCCCTGTCACAAAGGTCTCAGCAATCTCCATAGAACACATCATCGGTCAATGTACAATTCAGAACAGCAAAGACTTACCATACCGTGGTCTGACTGGCCCTTGCACGTCACACAATTTATATTTGCGGCTGGTGGTAACTGAGGACCCTCTTCAAATGTGATCTGCACTGAACTCTATGAAGAGAAAACTCGGTTAGTTCCCAGTAGTCAGAGTAGCCCAGACAGTTTCAAAGAGGATGAATGATTCTGATGTGGGAACCCAGAGATGCTCCAGTCTGTTTTCACAAATCCAGCCAGCACACAAAACCATCCCACACTGCAATTCTACCTACCTTGGCTTGTCCATAGAGCGAAAAGAAACAAGGTCTCCATTTAAGGCTCAAACTCACTAACACTATGTTAATTTCAGACAGACAAGCCCAAATGAGAATGGAAAAATTGTTCCGGATAGTAGGTCAAGTGTGTTAACCTTTCTCCATTGCAGAAGCTTTGCTGTTTCTTCTCTCTCTTCCCCTCTGTGCTAATCCTGCTTCAAAGAAAGAAAAATACCAAACCACCACCACCAAAACAAAAAATCCCCAAACTAAATAAACAATTAACAACAACGAAATCCACACCCTCAGCATATGGTACATCAGCTCCTCCGCTCAATTTGTTCCTTTTTTCAACCCTCTCCTAGTTTATTAGATTACAATCTCCACTGTGAAGACATCCCTCTTCTTCATCTGAGGATTTCCCTCTATCTCCATATTATAGGACCGGTTCTGTACGAAGAATCCCTCTCGAGAAACACAAGACCAAGATAAAGAGCTGAGAGCATCTCTGAACAAAACCTAGCCCTCAGAGATTCCCTCTGCTCACAAGGGACAAAAAGAGAGAGAGAACAGGCAATCTGGGCACTAGGACATGACCATTTGCTGAGTTGATTGCATTTTAGGGCCAGGATGATCGAGAGGGATGACAGAGATGCAGGAAGCCAATTCTTATTCTCAAGTAAACGAGACTGTGCGCTGCCAAGTCCGTGCAACAGACAGACCCATGTGAGGGGTGGAACAGGCTCTCTGACACTAATCTGACCAGCATACACACTAAAACCTGAAGAGCTACTTGCCCATCAAAAACTAGACTAGATGCATGCTCTCCTCCTAACACAGACACGAGGCAGCTCTCCCAGAGACCAAACTTCAAAACTGACTGAATGGACAAACAATATCCGATCGCTCTCTGCTGTTTCATAATATTAATGCTTGCTGTTTCTTTTTCTCACAAGTCTCCTCCACCAGAGCCTCGTGTTCACCCATGTGAATCAGTCCAAAATATCAGACCAGCCTTTTCTCTCTGCGACCAGAACCTCTGCCCAATGACTCAAGTATATAATGGCCCACAGCAAGCTATTGCCCTGTTCTTCCCAATGTCACTGTCTCACCAAACTGGGAGGCACCAGTCAACTTCGAAAGGTCTCGTTACTCAGCCAGCTCGGAACGAACCATGTGCACAAGGTAGTGTGAATCTATATATCCCCCAAGGCATGGAGAAAACACAGAGGAAAAAATTGCTTTATCCCATTTCATGAGGACCGTGGAGCTGAATGCTGGAATTCTGCAGCTCAGAAGCAGAGCACTGGGATACCTGAGGAGCAGAAGAGTCTAAGATGGAGTACTTTTCCCAGTTAAACAGATATAAACAGCTCCAGGTAAGTCACAATCTTATCCAGAATCCCACATAACAAAAAGCCCTCTGGGATAGCTTTTAGACCCAGTAACAGTGGCAATGCTGCTTTCTGAGTAAATATGCTCCAGATGAGGAGTGGCTGCAGCAGAAACTGATGCATGGCCCTCTATGCCATTTCAGCCATCAACTAATCTTCACTTTACATGAATCCTAAATTCTGGAACTTATAAATTCAGATAATTTTTGTGAGAATCTGAGTAAATCACCATGTGACAGAAAAGCACAGTTTATCAGATATGGACAACTGCTGACACTTCGATCATGGCATTGTGTTGAGGGACATGGAAGTAGAGGGTGCGTTTCCTGGGGGGGGGGGGAGGAAGAGGCACTTCACACTGAATCTAGCCTAGAATTTGTCACCTTGTCAAAAGGGGTGACAATTTTTCTGCCTTGCCAGAAAAAAAGTTTGCATCCTTATTCAAGGCTTTGACTGCTTTTTCTTCAAACATGTTAGGCTCATGCTAACCTTTTTTACCTGTTGATTTTCCTATATGACTTCATAGAAATGCCCCCCTTCCCGTTCACACGACAGAAAAAAAAAGGAGACTACGACAGACTTTGGAGAGCTTTGGACCACAGCTTTTTGTGGGCATTAAGCCCCTGCCTTGCTTAAGCAGTTATTTGCTATAAGCAATTATTTCCATGCGAAAATCAGCTAGGCATATTCTTCTTCATGAACGCCAAAACTACGCATCAGTATAAAAGCAATACTGGGAAATTAAAGGAAATAAATACCAGAAAAAATTTTAAGAAATTGCTGTGGAAACC